GCTGTAGAGAAGTGGAAGCATTTGAGGTGGAGTGTAAAGTCTAATACAGTTAAGTAAGAATTCAGTACAACATTGCTTTAAAAAATATCTTACTGAACTGAATATATTTTGTAATAATAGAGAATAGGGTTAGGGCTAGATAAGTATCCTACTCCTTTACAAACATTTTGTTTGACATATGGTAAGTTCTGTTTCTTGTTTCTTGTTTTGTTTTTTCCATTTCATTTTTAAAATAAATAATATCTAAAAATAATCAGGATGTTAACAAACCAAGTTTACACCTTTTGGCTCTCCTTTTGCTTTTRTCACAGAAATAACAGTGAGAAGGATGAATAATAGTTTTCTATTTAAACATGAGTACACAGTTACACGTTATTGACAGTTTGTGTTTGTGAAAAAGCTTGAGTTGATATAAAAAAAAACAAGCAATAAATTATTCTTTGTAGCCACTAGGGGGCAGTAGAAACAAGCTGAGATGCTCCAAATTGGCGTTTTCTGAAAATAATTGAGTAAATTACCAAGAAGATGTTGACTGTTTATGTGTAACTAASACAGAAAGCAGCTGAGGAGAGCAGCCACTTCTTTATCTTATTATTAGTATTTATTATTATTACCGTAGTATTGAGGTGTACTGAGTTAGAAGTATTAGAGACGGTACGTTTGTCCAAACTGTGTCCTGAGAGGAAATCTCTTCCTCTGCGTTTCTACAGGAAGTGATTAAATGTTGTTGACCTTCTGTCTGTGTGCAGCTAACTACATGGACAACTGGAAGTGCGCAGGCATCCTGAAGGGGGACGGAAGCCCACTGACAGGCCTATCTGGTCAGCCCACAGCCATGAGCACCGTGGTGGGCTCCTCCCTCCAGACCTCCCAGAATGCCCTGAACGGGACGTCAGCAGGAAGGTAGGTGGTGTCGCGCGTCTGACGCCACTCGCCCCGTCTGAGACGAGCCGGTCAGAACCGACAGCTTTACTAAGCCTCACACTGACTGCGGAGTGCAGCTGCCCACTGACAAACCTCCTGGACTCACACTGACCCACCCGGTGCTGCCCTGATGCAAAGAGCTTGGCTTCAGTGAACGGGCTGTGTGTGATCTGGATTCATGCACGCCTGAAGAGTGGTTTCTCTCCGCTTTGCATCTCTAGTTTAAGGTCCTACTGTTTACTTGGCAACAGAAGTCAAATGTGATTTTTCTATAAGTTCTGTTATTGAGTTGGTAGAGTTGCATCAAGAAATTCAGCCAAATCATTGTTTGGTAGCTTCGCTGTGTGATGTTAAAAACATTTTTATTCAAATTATCGCAACACCTCAGATGCTTTTCATTATGAGATGAGCAATAAGATTTACTTAAAGCTCTTCTCTTTATTTTTTCTTATTTTTTTATTTATCTTTTTTAGGAATGTGTCCCTGAGCGGGCGTTGCCAAACTCTTTGCCAAGCAGAGGGAAAGCTTTATTCAAYTTTATTAACAAACTGAAAAAAATGACAGCCATTTTCAAAACCTACATTTTGGAACTTTAAATGGGAAGAAATATGCTGGGAAATGTCTTAACTTATGGATCTAAAATAAAACTTTGRGATTAGTCTCTTCATGGTTGCTGGAAATACAGCATTTTTGCATAATTCTTCTTGGTAGATTCAAAGTTTAAAGTAAAGAGATGGGTTAAAGCAGGAATAAAGAATTGGGTTAAATCTGTTTATTTTGTTTGAGATGGCTGTGTTTATTTTCAGTTTAATCTTAGATTTAACAATGCTCAYGTATTTACTGTTGATTTTTGTCTTAACGCTCATGTTGTCTCTAACCTCTATAACAGAAACGATGTACTGTGTGACATTCGATTAGTTTGTTAAATTGCATTTTGTAAGATTTTAATTGTAGGTGTTTTTTTTCCTAACATTTCAGTTTCCTGTCAACAAAACAAAAAAAAGGTGTGAAGTGTGTTGGAGTTAATTTGCTATTTTATTGCTTGTTGCATGCAGGATTGCCAAAAGAGCTTCCTTTGCTCCTCCCCTGCGGCAGCTGACCTCTCCAAAGATAAACCAGAGTCCTGCATAGTACTAATGTCACTTCAACCATTGTGTGCCAACAAAGCTCAGATACAAGCCAGTTTGTAGCACATTTTATGGCTGAAGACTTGGTCCTCACTCATTTTGATTGTTGGCATGAAAACTGTGTGCATGGATTTTCCTCCCTTCATTCTGTTTTGTTTTGTTACGCGTCAGAGCTTCACTGTTGTTGGATAATATGGTTGCACATACACCTTTAATAAAATAAATCGATGTTACCACCCTACCTGCTATGAAGTTCTGTTTGTTTGATTTATGTCTAGAGTGTACACGCATTCTTAGTCCTTTTAATTACTCATTTCTACTTCCTTTTATGTGTTTCCCTTTTGTATTTTTGTTCTGTTCCTCCCTTTTTTTGTTTTTGTCGTACTGTCCTTCTTTCTCTCTCTCTCTCCTTCCTTTTTCTTTATGTTGCTTTAGGTATTTCTTTCCACCTCTGGATCCTCCCAGAGCGGGGACCAGGTATGGTCACCTGCTCCCTCCTTCCTCCCTCATAGAGCACTGTGATGCTGAGCCTGTTGTTCAGCCTCAGCAGCCTCTCCCCCACAGAAGCCCCTCTAGAGTTCTGCTGTCCTTACCCGAAGCGGAAGAGCAATGATTCTTTTTCTGTATGCGTGCATTTTATTTGGAAAAAGGTACACACAGTGTCTTGAGAAAGTGCTCCTGAACCTTGAATTTTTTTTAACTTTTGGTCACATTACAGACTTCAAGTATTTTCCTAGAGTTTTCTATGACATATCAAGAGTTACTGTGTTCGTAATGCTCTCCTTACCCAGCTGAAAGAATAAGAGGGAGAATATTTAAATTGTGGAAATGAGATTATTTTGAATGACTTCCTTTTTGTTAAAAAAAAGCTGCCTATGTGAGCAACTAAGCGGCATGTGGAACAACTCCTGGCAGGTACGAATCTAGAGTTTTTCATCCTGGTTCGTGTATCAACAGATGTTCTTCACTGTATGTGAATTGAGTTCCTTTAATAAAATCAGTGATTTTTTTTTCAGAGAAAATCCATCAGCTGCCTGTAGCTTTGTTAAAACCTTGGTTTTGATATGAACAGCTACTGTGCTGAAGACRATGAATCCTCAGTCTGAGGCTGTTTTATGAACACCACATGACTCATGTTGTATTTCTTGTGACCGTTTTTTTTTAAATAAAATAAAATACTAAAAAAAAATGTGTGTATGTGTCAGTTTCTTTCCAGACAGCTGACTGCTAATAAAGGCCCTCTTACAGCTGCTTGACAGGTCATATGGCTTGTTACTATTTATGGTTTAATATGATCAAGTAAAAGTATTTTAGGTATTTTCTGGGTTGACTAAAATATACATCTCCTCTTCATTCATCTTAAAGATAAAAAAAACCACCTAAAAACACAAATGGGCAAGAGAAAACTGAAACAAATTTTCACCAATCACGATGCACCGTTTCCTCCTCGTGTGTTTTTGACCAATCAGATAAGAGAATCGGTTTTAATTCCCGCCCATATGATATGACGCTTATACGCGGGCTTCCTGTGGCTTCTGGGCGGTGATCTTTATAGAACAGTTCACAGTTTGTTTGAAACTCTGTATCTTGAGTTAAAGAACGAGACGCATGAATGTTTGGACGTAACATTTGGAAACTATCTGAACTTTACGGCGTGTTTAAAGAGGTTTAACAAGCAAAACCTGATCTGGAGAAGAACAGTTTTTCGTCTCGGCCCCGCGCCTGGACGTATTGAACGTGAGTTTTGTTTTAACGTTTACGTGATGTTATGGTCACTTTATAATCTGAAAACAGGATTTTATTAAACAAGACGGCGTAATAACTTTGTCAAAGTTTCACTGCTGGCTTTAAGTTGTCGTTTTGCGACGCTTAAGCCTTAAAAGTAGTTGAAACTTGGGGGGTGCAAGTTTGACCAATCCTCTTGTTTTTAGCAATTATTAGCTAGTAAACTAGCTAAGTTTTTTTTTTTTTTTTTGCTAAATCAAAATGGCGTTCATGAAGAAATACAACACGAATAATAGAATGAAAAGGTTAATATGTTTGTTTTCACAGTTGTATTTTAGACTGATTTTGCTCTTTATTATTATTTTTCATCCCAAACAGAGTATGGTCTGCACCACCAGTGCTGCCTGACTGAAGAAAAGAAATGTCAGACAGCTTGTACAGGCTGGAGGATGAAGCCTTCCCCAGTTTCCTCACCAAGTCTCTGGACAGCACCAGCGGCCGGGCCAGCCTCGGGAACGTGACTTTGGGCTCAGGTCCGGGTCTGCCTGTGGCTGCTTCCACTGGGGCTAAAATTAGACCCAGTTCTAACAGGTGGGTGGGAGCAGGCGTCCAACAGATGGGGCTTGTTGTGAAATGACACTCCTATACACTGTTATAGGATTATGAGGACGGTTCTGTTTGGGTACAGCTTAATAAATTAGAATATCATTGAAAAGTCGATTTATTTCAGTAATTCTATTCAGAACGTGAAATATTCTCAATAAATAGTAGGGCTGTGTATTGGCAAGAATTTGGCGATACGATACATATAACAGAGGGGTCCCAATATCCCGATATATTGCGATACTGTAAGCAAGGCAATATATTGCGATATATTGTGATTTTTTTTGTCCAAAAATTCTATTAAATAAAAACCTCTTACTGAAAAAAAAAGAAAAGCTAATGTTTACTTACAATGCTAATGCTACCTTTACTCTCTGGCGCTCAAGAGGTAGAGGAGCCAAATGGCTGGCTCACTGCTGCCAACTAGTGGTCAGAGGCTTGAACTACAACATAAAAATGAACGGTTGGCAAGAAGGTTGACATTTTAAACCTTAATTAAAAATCAATACAGGGCTTTAAAATATCGATACAGTATCGGGAAATGAAATATCGCGATATTTCAGTGTATTGATATTTTCTTACACCCCTAATAAATAGACACATAATAAAGTGGTGTATTTTAAGTGTTGATGTGGTTCATCAGAGCAGGATGCCTCCTGGACACCTCACTTCAGTAGTGTGAAGGCCCGCAGGCCTATTGTGGCCCATGAGAGCTTCAAAGATCTATTGATGTCTTAAAATATGCTGCTTGAGCACGAAACATTGACAATAAATACAATTCACCCTTTTAGCGCAACCAGAATACTCACGTGACCCTCGGTGAAAATGAGTTTGACGCCTCTGCTTTAGAGGTTTTCCATGCATGTTTTTTTTTCTGGAGGTATTGTGTATTCTCTCTGGGTAAGGAAGGCTTTGGTATCCACGCAGCAGAGCTGGAAAGTGTCGTTGGGTACAGGGAGGTCTGGGTTTCTGTCCTGGACATTTTGCCTCTGCGACCTGACCATGAAAAATTGGTAGAAGGTGGAAATTTCTGTGACTTTTGATGAACATGGCTTACAGCTAACAAAAGTTAGTTTCTCACAAAATTAGAGGATTACATAAGACCAATTTTAAAAAAGGGATTTCAATCCAGAAATGGTGACCTACTGAAAAGTGTATATGTTCTCAACAGTAAATGTCTGCATTGTTGGGTCAGACAAACTTGCTGAAAGTCAGCTACAGCAATACCATGTTCATCAAAGCTGGCATTGGTATTTTGGCAGTGTGGACAGACATCAAAACCTGCTGGATAATAACCATCCTCTCATTATCCATGACGGGCTCTAAAATTCTCTGGTAGGTAGTTACTATGACTTCAGACTTGAGAAAACCAAGTGGACAGAGACCAGCAGATGACATGGCTGTCCAAATCATCACTGACTGGAATCTTCAAACTGGACCTCAAGCAGTTTAGATTCTTTTTCTTTTTTTGATCAAGTCTTTTTATTAATTTTTTTTAACAAACCACAAAAAAGAACAGACTTACAAAAACACAAAACAAAACACACACACCCAAAATCCCTCCCATCCCTCCCCTCCTATACCGGATCCACTGAAACAACAAAAATCTATCTTGTATTCATACAAGTGATACAATGAACAGGTTTGTGTATAATGAAACAATATTTTACCTTTACACAAAGTTATCTGCCGAAATGTTTTCTACACAAAATATAAATGGCTGCCAAATGTCAAAAATTTTGTTTACAGATCCCCTAAC